GAGTTGGGGCATGTCACAGAGAGACTTGAATGTCCATTTACTCTGATAGGCAGTTGGGAGCCATGGAAGATTATTAAGCACGGAGGAAGATAATCAGATTTAGAGAAACTGATCGCCACAGGGGGAGCTCATCTGACCAGGGAGTGAAGGGGGTGGGAGAGAGAGGACAGGCTGGGAAGGCCTCCTCTCCTGAAATGGGCTGGACTCGGGAAGGGAGCAGGTGTAGGGGTGAGGAAGAGGGAGGGGTCCCAGGTGGGGTGGGGCCTCGGGCTTGTTTGGTGGATGGAAGGGGACCCAGGGGCAGGACAGGCTGGGGGTGGATATTGGCTGGCTTGAGTCCAGGGTGTCTGTGGGCTTCTGGGAGCAAGTCCAAGAAGCAGCTGGAAATGTGGGTTTTACAGAGAAGGAACCAGAAGGTCAAAGGGGTTATTTTTGCCAACTTACCCCAAACTGGAAAAAGGCCATGTGCTATGGTTTGCATGTGTCTGCCAAAGTTCACATTTGGAAACTTAATCCCCAATGCAACAGTGTTGGGAGGTGGGGCCTAATAAGCAGCGGTTAGGTGATAAGGGCTCTGCCCTCATGAGTGGATCAAGGTCATTATTGTGGGAGTGGGTTAGTTATCTTGGGAGTGGGCTTGTTATAAAAGTCTGTTTGGCCCCCTTTTACTCTCTTTTGCTCTCCTACCCTTCTGGCTTCTGCCATGGGATGATGCAGCATGAAGGCCCTCACCAGATGCTGGCACTTTGAGATTGGACTTGCTGGCCTCCAAAACCGTAAGAAATAAATCTCTGTTCTCTATAAATTACCCAGTCTGTGGTATTCTGTTATAGCAGCACAGAATGGACTGAGACACCATGTCAGGATTTGAACTCGGGTCTGTCGCCCTCCTAAGTCTGTGCTCTGACACTGAGGAACTGGCAGAAGTGCAGGGCTTTCTCTGTCCCTTGGGGTTCCTGACTCTGGGCTCCGCATAGAGCTCAGCTGCTCACCCCGGAGTCAGGCTCTTCTTGGGGGCATTGCAGCCATCCCCCTGCTGTAGAGCCCAGCAGCCTCAGGGGCTCTGCCAGCAGGATCTTCAAGCCCGAACTTCTGCTCTGTAGAAGGACCATCTCCAACCAGCCCAGCCTTCCTTGTCCCTTGACACCAGGGATTCCCTGTTAGCCTCCTGGAGCTGCAGGAGTACCGACAGCCCGCATTAACTGGGCGCCGACTGTATGCAGGCCCCAGGCCAGGCACTCTACAGGCTTTCTCTCTCTCAGTCCTCACAACCCTTTGAGGGGAGTGCTGTTGTTATTGTTTCCATGTACAGATGAGGGAATCAATGGAAGCTTCCAGAGGTGAAGGGCCTTGGGGTGGGTGGTGGGTCAGGGTTCAGTGTTGCTCCATGTGGCCTGGGCAAGCATGGAAGCTCGATCTCTGAGCCCCACACTTGAAGTGAGGCTTCTTTTGAGGGACCCAGCCCCACCACAATCCTCCCTGCGGCCGCCAGCGCCTGCTCCTGACTTCCAGTCTGCAGTTCCAGCTCCCAGGACTTTCCCAACCCTCCCACCCCCCACCTTTCTGTTCCTCAGGGCCCAGCTCCCTTCGAAACAGGCAGGCCTGCCCTCTCCCCCTCCCGGGCTGTGTTTCTGGCAGCTCTGCCACCCTGGGCTCTGGTCCGGGGGTGGTCCCTGACAGAAAGTGGGGCGGGCAAAAGCTGGGGTGGTGGCAGGCCCCCACCGCAGGGCCCGTTATGCTCCAGGCTGGGGTGGGCAGGGCCCTTTAAAAAGGGGTGGCTTGAGGTTTTAATCACTTTATCAATGTTTGTTTGTGTAATTCAGCCCCGAGATGCTTCTCCCTCCATCTGTCCCCACCATCTGCTCCCATCAGGATTTTCCAAACCGTTTGAAACCAAAGAGGCAATGGAATGGTGGTGGGGGGAGGTGGGCTGGGCCTCTGAGGGGGCTGGGGAAGGGCCACCTCCACACACCTCGGGAGAGGATTCCAGGGAGGTGCCTAGGCTCCCGAGTCACACAGAACTGAGTGCAAGTTCTGACACTGTCACTTTCTTGCTGTATTAACTCGGGCAGTCGACTTCACCTCCCCGAGCCTCAGTCTCCACATCTGTAAAATGGCAGTAACGTTACTGATTCCTCAGGATCGCTGAGGATCGCATGAGGTGAGGGGAGGCATGCAGCGCACTCTGTACATCGTAGGTGCTCAGGAGACATGCGGTCCCCTTTCTCTTCGTCCTCCACTTACTTCTCTCTGTGGAGTCCCAGGGCTGCTCTGTCCCTCTTCAGTGGTAGAGGAGGGTGGCCACACCTGTTTTCTTCTGTACCCCTCACCTCACTCCTCAGGCTCGCTCTTCCACAGACCCTGCCCACTGCTTGGTTCTGTCACTTACCCCCTCCACTGTGACCCCAAGCCGCGCCCCACTCCACCCTGCACGCCTCAGTCCGAGGTGGGAGGGGGCTGTGTTACACCAGCAAGGACAGCCCCCACCCCCAAAATAGGCCTTCAAAGAAGGCAAACCTGTGGGCTTCCAGGGTCACTGGTACGTCACGTGTTTACGCTCATGTTGTCTGTCTAACCACTCTGCTTAGAAAGGGGAAGAGACTTACTCCAGCTCGTCCAGAGGTGAGGGGCCCAGGCCTCCTGACAAGCTCTTCCTTGTCCCCCTTCTGGGTTATATCTCAGAATACTAGGTCTTAGATAAAGGGCCTTGGTGTGCAGGGTGGGGGACCCCACGCCTTCTCCTCTGGCTCAGGGGGGCCTCCTGGTCTGCTTAGGTCCCCTGGAGGGTGGACGTGGCTGATAAGAAGGAGACGGCAGAGTCTGCTGGGGAAAGTTAAAGGGAGGTGGCATGCCCAGGGTGAGGAGAAGACATGGTCCTGCCCTGAGAAGCCCTCACCTACTGGGGAGACGTGCAGATGGGTCCTGAGGGCAGGGCACCAGAGTCACCCTCACAGAGAAGAAAAGTGGTGGAGCAGGGAGAAGTAGGCTCCAAGAGGCTGCACCAGAAGTCAGGAGGCTACTCTGGGGTGGGGAAGTGGGGGTAAACTGAGGCCTCCCAAGGATGCAGAGGAGGATCAGACCAGGCTGGGAAGATTAGGCTTCAGGCAGGAGAAGGAGTAATGTGGGAAGAGGGGCTGAGGGAGTGACGGCAGGGCAGGACACCATCTCCTTCCCAAGCACAGCAGGCCCCACGGGCCTGGTGGGGAGAGGAGAGGGAGCTTGTACTGGAGGGGCCTGAGCAGCAAGTCTCTCCCAGCCCCCGGGTCCTCACGCAGGAGGCAGCTGGGAACCACCCACACTGAGTCTGGCGTCTCACGCCTCCACGGGGGTCCCAACACCAGAGCCAAGGCATGCAGTGAAGCTGATGGTGTTCCGGAGAGCCCAGCTGTCCTCTCTCCACCCTAGCCGGGCTCCCCAGCTCCTCCAGTTGAGACCAAGCAGGAGGGACCAAGGCTAGACTCTGATGACCGGAGAGCCTTGGTCTGAGCGCTGGGAGCCAGGAGGGTCTGAGTGCATGGACTGGGAGGAGCTGTCCAGGCAGGTGGCAAATGCGTTCGGCTCCACCTTCATTGTAGGTATAGACACAAACCCACCCCCGGGTCATCTGTCATCCTCTAATGGCCCCCACTCCACCTCGCCCTCCACTCCTCAAGGTCTGTTCTTGACATAATGGCTCAAGTGAGCTGTTAACATGGACGTCAGACCCTCTCACTCTGCTCAGCTGTCCCAAGGATTGCCCATCTCACCTGGAATAAAAATCTAAAGTTCCTGGCATGGTTCCCAAGGCTCCTGACCTGCTACAATCCCAACCTCCCCACCCCACACTGAACTTTTCCTAGAACTCTTATCTAATGCACTATAGATTGGCTTGTTATGTTCGTTGTTCATTGTCAGCTTCTTTTTTGGGGGGATGGTGTGGGAGGGTGGCTGGCTGGTATGGGGGTCTGAATCCTTGACCTTGGTGGTATATCACCGCGCTTATTGTCCACTTCTGTGACCCCGCTGCCTAGCACAGGGCTGGGCTCAGAACTGGTGCTTTATAAATATTTGTGGAGTGAATGAATGAGGAGGGCACAGGGATTCAAGTCCAAGCCCTCCACTCGCTAGCTGTGAGACACCGGAAAATCAACTCCTTTGAACCTCAGTTCCCTCATCTGTAAATTGGGGTCAATAAGGACAACCTCCAAGAGAGGGAGAAAGGACAAAATTTAAGCCCAGGATGTGAGAATTGCTGCCGAGGCTGGGGGAGGGAGGATGCAGCCCCTCTGCCGGCAGGGACCTGGGGTGGGAGTCAGTGACTCTGGAGAGGACTGTCCTGTCTGCAGGCAAAGGGGCCTACGCGCCTCAGCCGCCCCCGGGCTGGAGATGCTTTGCCCTCACCCACGGCAGGGCTGCACAGGCAGAGGCTGGGTAGGGAGGGAGTGTGGGGGTTTCCTTGATTGGAGGGGGAAGGGGGAGGGGCAGTTTACATCGCCGCTGGGAGGTGGGAGTAATTCGGGGCAGGTGGGGGCGGGCTCTCTAAGGTGGAGGGGGCAGGGGCGTGTCCGGCTCCCTACCCCGAGGACCTCGCGGACCGGAGGAATGGGCGCTCCCCGTCCCCGGAGAGCCCTCGGCTCCGTTCGCTCCGGAGTTGAGGCGCGGGGGCAGGGAGGGCGCCTATGGGGCGGCCCGGGATCCAGATTCCGCCCTCGGAGCGACGTGCGGCTCTGCGCCCAGGTAGGGATGGGGGAGGGAGGGGGCGGGGCGGCTGGGGATCGTCCCCGGCTTAGGAAACGGGTCCTTTGGCACCGGCCCGCCCCTGCATTCAGGCTGCCTGAGTGCAGAGGCTGAGGAGTTGGGGGCCTCGGTCCTCCTCCCCTCGGGGGGCAAGGAAGTGAGGGCGTCCCCTTCCCTCTCCGGGGCGGGGGCGGGGCCTAGCGCACCGCTCTCCCCACCCCCCGGGCTGGGACCCCCCAGGGGAGGGGCTCCGGGCGAGCGCTGCGGGGCGTCTCCCTCGCGTCCCGCCCGCCCCTCCAGCCGCCTCTGCCGCCGCGCGCCGCAGCAGCGCCGCCTTCCCTGCGCAGTCGGTGTCTCCGCGTCGCTGGGTGAGTGGGGGCCGCTCCGGCCGGGGCTGGGGAATGCGCGGAGGGGGAATCCCGGAGCCAGGGGGCCACCTCCGGGGCTCCCCACCCCGGCTACTCCGCGGGGCACCCTCCGGCGGGGGCGCAGGGAGCGGGGGCTGCCCCCGGGAGCGCGGGCGCTCTCCATGGTCCTGACCGCCGGGCGGGCAGCCCGGAGGCGTCGCGTTTCGGCCGCCTCGGAGCGCCCCCTCCAGGAGGGGCCACGCGCCGGGCTCTCTCCGAGTGCCGAAAGGATCGAGGCACGAGGCACGGGCTCAGGGACAGAGCTGAGGGAGGTTCGGAATCCCTGGGGCGGGTTTCTCAGGTCGAGCTGTGTGGGGTCCTTCCCGTTTGGGGGATTGGGGGTCTTTGAAGAGACAGCAGAATCCTTCTCCAACTGGGAGAGGCAACTCCGAGGGTCGCAGGGAGGAGGGGGCACTGGTGGAGCTCTCTTGCCAAGCACACCCCTCTGCCCCCCACCTCGGTGACCCAGTTCCTTGGACCTTGAGGAAGGGAGAAAGGGACACACTCCTCCGCCCCAGCCCTAGGCATTTCCTCGGTCCCTTCCCACATACTTGTTCGGTGTGTCCTCAGCCTGGGGCATAAGAGGCTGATCTAGAAAGGAGGGGCACCAACTTACAGAAACATGAGTGTGAGACACTGTTGAGGACACACACAGGCCCCCCAAATGGCCACCCGGACACATTCCCCTCACACCGTGATGGTTGCATACCCGGTCACACGCACATATAATGCACATGCACAGACATGGGTGGAAACACACGGGGAGAGAAGTGCAATGCAGAAAGCAGGGACACACTTCATGTGTGAGCACATGCACTTTCACACACGCCCACCCACATGTGCACAGAGCTTCGTGCACAGCTCTTCGTGCACAGAGGAACCACACTGCTCTGTCCCACTCATAGCCCCATGTTCGGGGGGTGAGGGGAAGTCACCTGCACACACCCTTACATCGATGCCCAGAACTGCCTGGCTGTCCCTTCTCCACTGCCTTCCCCTCAGCCTCTACTCTCTAACTTCCTGCATTGAGGGGACATTTCAGGACTAGATGAAAGGTAAGTGTTGGGGGAGGGTTGGATGGGCTAGGGGTTGTCCCTGGAAAAGGGGCTCCCAGCAGGTCTGGGAAGAGCTGCAGCTCCCTCTCCTGGGACCTGGCAGCACCCCTGAGAAAAGAAAGAAAAACGACAAGGGTGTGTGAAGGTCCCATGTGCAGCTGGCCATGTGAGAGGTGTCAGCATGCGAGTTGGCGTGTGATGGCATGTGTGAGACATGTGGGATTGTGGGCTGGTGTGTCTTGATGCACAGGGTATAGGAGCTGCACGTGGTGCTGTGTGTCAGTACGTGTCAGTCGTGGAGCAGAGGGAATGCTGTTGTGTGAGGAGGTGTGGCGACCTAAGGGTAGATGTGGGCTGGTATGTGAGTGGCATGAGACCCCATGTGTGGATTTGGTAAGCCATGTAGCACAGTATGCATTCATTTGTGTATTCTCGTGCATGAGTTTTGTGTAATCTTGGTACATGTAAATCATTCTTATTTATTTAACACTTAAGTAGCACTTATCTATTCAGGCATGGTTCTAAGTGTTTCATGTGTATTAACTAATTAACTCCCACAACAATCCTCTGAGGTAAGTACTATTACTATCTCCGCTTGAGAGATGAGGCGGAGAGAGTTTAAGGATCTTGCCCAAGGTCACATAGCTGGCAAGAGGCAGAGGTGGGATTCAAACCCAGGTGATTTGGCTCTGGAGCCCAGACTGACACCTACCTTGTGCAGCCTCGCGTCAGGCACAACTGTGGGAGGGAGGACAGGGCAGCAGTATCTGAGCTGCAGGTGTATTTTGTGGCATAAGCGAGGCAATGAGGGGGAAGTGGGTAGGAGGGTGGAGAAAGACCAGATGGTCTTTCTGCACCTTCCTGGGCAGCTCTGGGAGTTGGCCCTGTCGTGCCATGGCTGTGTAACCTGAAGCAAGTCACCTCACTTCTCTGAGCCTGCCTTCTCCTTTGTAAAATGGGGCTAATCCCCATACATGCCCTCATGTGGGTGAAATGGTGGGCACTTATGTAGGCTTGGCGGCTAGCACTGGGAAGGACCTTGGTCAATGTGAGCCCCTTCCTTTCCTCCATCTCCAGGTCTGTTCCCCGGGGAAGTGTAAGGTATGGGGAAATGGTTTGGAACATGTCACAGAGGTGGGATGCTTGGGTACAGGCTGTGTGACTATGGGCCAGTTCCTCTCTTGCTGGGTCACATGAGAGGCTGTGGTGGCTGGTGTCTGGGGGCCCTTCTGGAGGGGCATCAATCAGCCAGGAGGGCTTGACCACTCCTCTCTGTCTCTTGACCCCCTTTGGGGACCCAGGTGGGACTTGGCTTGGTGGCCATGGGCAAACAGAACAGCAAACTGCGGCCCGAGATGCTGCAGGACCTGCGGGAGAACACAGAGTTCTCAGAGCTGGAGCTGCAGGAGTGGTACAAGGGCTTCCTCAAGGACTGCCCCACGGGCATCCTCAATGTGGATGAGTTCAAGAAGATCTATGCCAACTTCTTCCCCTACGGTGATGCCTCCAAGTTTGCTGAGCACGTCTTCCGCACCTTTGACACCAACAGTGATGGCACCATCGACTTCCGGGAGTTCATCATCGCTCTGAGCGTGACCTCGCGCGGCCGCCTGGAGCAGAAGCTCATGTGGGCCTTCAGCATGTACGACCTGGATGGCAACGGCTACATCAGCCGCGAGGAGATGCTGGAGATTGTGCAGGTGGGCCCCTGGGCCCCTCACAACGCCAGAGCAGGGCCCGCAGCTTGCACCCCCCACCCGTTTATCCTCTCAGCACACCTGTAGGCAAGTAGAGGCAGGTGCTATTCTTATGGTCCCATTTACAAAATTCTTTATTAGGAAATCATTTCCAATTTAAGGAAAAGTTGAGAAACTCCCATCTACCCTCTACCCAGATTCACCAGTTAACATTTTGGCACAGTTGTTTAATCATCATGTATGTGTGTGTGTGTGTGTGTGTGTGTGCATGTGTGTGTCATGTTTTCTTGTTGTTGTGAACAATCACTCTTTACCCCTGGATACATCAGGATACATTTCCTAGGAATGAGGACTTTCTCTTACGTAACTCATAACATGATTGTCAAAGTCAGGACACTTAACATAGAAAAATGCTATTATCTAATTTACAGATGGTATTCCAATTTTGCCAACTATCTTCATAATGTTCTTTATAGCATTTTTTTCTCTTGTCTAGGATCGTGCATTGCATTTAGTTGTTATGTCTCTTTAGTCCCCTTTAATCTGGATTAGTTCCTCAGCCTTCCTTTGTCTTTCCTGACTTGACATTTCTACAGAGTATAGGCCAGTTATGTTTAATTAATCCTCATTAATTCAGGAGGAAACAGGTGCTCAGAGAGGTAAAGGCACTTGCTTGAGGCCACACAGCCTGTGAGTGGGCCGCCTGGCTCCCCCGTCTACATTCCATCTGGATACCCAGCCACCTTCCAACTAATTGAGTGAGGGCCCACTAAGAGCCCGATACTGGGTGAGAGGTACTAATACCCATGAGCTCATTGCCTCCTTACAACCCCAAGAGGCTCAGAGAAGTGGAGTGACTTGCCCAAAGTCACACAGCATATAAGAGGAGTCAAGCTCAGGCCGGCCACCACTTAGAGCTGCCTTTTGAAAGGGCTCTGGACTCCCAGCTGGGAGGTCTGACCTCCAGTTCTGGAGTTGGGCTTAACTCTTAGGTCGTTCATCTGTAAAATGGGGATGGTGATGCTGACCTCACAAAGAGATTTAAGGATCTGATATGAATGCCCTTTCTTAGTACAAATTTAAGGGTGATACATGTTAGCATTATTTCAAAGACTTTCCAGAACATCTATCCCTCAGCCCCAGCATTGAAGAGGATCGGGGCCCTGGTTCTATTTTACCTATCCAGTTCCTTGCTTACTTATTTCCTGAGAATTACAGGTTTCCACACCTGTAAAATGGCGTGGTGGGGGGCGTGTTAGGCCCCTACTTCACAAGGCTATTCTAGGAATAAAGTGAGATAGGGACTCTAGCAGAGGGCTAGGCAAATAATTGGTACTCGGTAAGCATTAGTGATTGCCAGTTATTATTTTCTCCAGTGCACATTCTCTGCTCTAGCCAGGATGGCCTTTTTGACATCCCTGAAATGTGTCCTGTGCAATACTGCACATGGCTTTGCACAGCTCATTCCCCCTTTGCTTGTGCATCCCTGGATCCTTTTCCTTCTGGTCCCTTAGCTCCGCTGACTGCTCCCCATTCCAATTCATCCAGTCCTAGCTGGACTCTTGACTTTGGCATCTCCTCTTGCTAAAGGTCTGGTTCTCCGGCTTGACTAGAAAGGGCTGCCTTGGGCCGGCCTGGTGGCGCACTGGGTAGTGCACCGCTTGGGAAGCGCGGCGGCGCTCCCGTTCGAGGGTTCGGATCCCACATATAGACCGGCTCCCGCTCACTGGCTGAGCGAGGTGCGGGAGCAACACC